AGCCGCCTGATCAATTTCTCATCAACTCATCGCGGGCATCTAATTAAAATCGACGTCCCATTTAATGACCCTCTTTCACACGTCACAGATCCAGCCAAAGACCGAGAGGACTGGTGCAGTTCTTTGGCATGCGTGTATATAATGCCCTCACGCACTCTGCATATTAAACGTGTGATCTTGGCCACTAGTTCGGGTCATCATGCTTGAGAATCGGCCACTCAGATTTCTTCGAATCTCGTCCAGGCTGCTCACAGCAACGACTGATGCGCAACTGAGATCTCTCTCTTTTTTTATGTTTTCAAATTTGTTTTAATCAAACAAAGTCAAGAAGTGTCCGATAAACACACTTTCCAATACAGGCTGGTTGAGAATTGTCACATAGTAAAACGAGTCTTTGGGTATGAAGCTTGAAATGAAATTTTTCACAAAAATTGTGATATTTTACGTTTATCTCGTCACGATTTTAATTCTCAGGCATGCTTTTAATAGGAAATGTCACAAAAAACCAATGGAACTACTTTTAAAACATCAACATTTCATATTAATTAAGCTTTTAAAGTTTCTAAATAATGTCCGACCTCTCCTACTGACTTGATCTACTGTGCGTCAATACGTTTGGAAATGCAAAAATACCCTCTCTTAGTCTATGACGTAAACAATCAAGAAACATTGATAACGCTTCAAATTTAGGAAGCTTTATTTATATTATTATTTTATCATAAATATTTCATCATGATATAATGAACTAGCCCTCTCTCAAACAACGAGGCAGTTTCTCACCATCTTGTTGATGAAACCACAGTACCACTGAGGAACCACTACCAGAGACAATTTATTTTAGAGACCCCACTACACTTATCTAAGCAATGTGATGGAGTGTTTTGGTGATCAACGCTGATGGATAAAATTGATGAGTAGCTTGTTGAGAAAAAAAACTCAAATAAAACTTGACAAATGGTAATTGATGAGTATAAGAATGGTCACTTTGCTGGGCAGGTTTTGGCAAATCAGGTCCGGGTTGCGAAACCGCATGATAAATTGGACGTATTATTCTGCCAAACGGAACTATGTGCATTAAGACAAGAGCCCTGAGACCCATCAGAATATATGTGTAACAGGGCTCACGTCATAATGCACATAGTTCTTTTTGGCAGAAATACGTCCAATTCTTTGAACATCAGTCATCATTGGGTGGAATCTAGCTTTGATTTCCAAATGTAAGTTTTACACCATGAAGGAAGGAGCACTGCGGGGTCTAATATTGACACTGGAAGTAGCGGCGAGGTAGAAACAGCTAGCAGTGCACTCTTGGAAGCATCGATGTCACAGACAAGAGTACCGTTATAAGGTGACTATGGACAACTCGATTTATGTAGCTCTTAGGGCCCAACAGGGCGACACCGTGAAGAACGAAAATCACTAGAAAAGTGCGCCGCTGCCAACCTATGCATATGAAAGATTAATCAATATGGCTGACAGCACATTATAAACAAGCATCTTTAAGGTTTAAAACTTTGAAACTGAGAAAAAGTAAGCGAAATTAAAGGTTTATACGTGCTTTTATAATTTTTGATCAGTGTAAATAGTCAAAATCTGAAAATTTGTACCACTGGATAATTTGAGCTCATAGGTTGGCTCTCTTTTTGGGCCCTAAGAGCTACATGACCTGATCAAACCTAACCTCCAAATTTTCGAGTTGTCCATACTCTCACTACAAAGGCACTCTAGCACAGACAAAGCCGAATCTTTGTTTACTTTCCCAGATTTGATCAGGAGGAATTGGCAGCGGCGCCCGTTGTGTCATCATTTCTAATGGGCACTCGTGAGATGCCATGGAACCTCCACTTGTCGAGACTCGGCACACCGCACTCCATGCATTCCGTGTCATGTAAGTAACCGCAGGTTCCCACTTCCAACTCCGGACCCCGGTCTCAAAACTCCGCACTGGAGCAGGTCACGGTTGTCATAGTGCCCGGAAAAACAGAGAGAGCCTTTCTATATTCGTAAAAGAAAAGTTCGGTCGTGTCTACCAAAGTTCGTTATTCCGTATCATCTCAACTGATTCAGTTCGTCAAACTAAATTTTCGGTTTGTCAAACCGAAACTGTGTGGTAAAAGGAACTGGCGAACAACGCTTGGTCGTATATGCCGAGCATTTGGTTACACGAACCGAAAGTTCAGTTTGACAAACCGGAACGAAAAAATGGAACACCGAACGTTCTATTTATACGGCCAATTTTTTTTTTTTTTTTTTTTTTTTTTTTTTTTTTTTTTTGCAGCGAGAGGATACATGAACATGTTCAAATATTTTCCAATCCGTGTGTAGAATTTTGGTTTTTTTGAATTGGAAAATTAGATTGGGACAGCCTAAGGTGGATTTATAAAAGAGGAAGCAATATTTCCGCACAAGTTAATATAATTGATAATACAATTTTTTTAAAGGAAAAAAAAAATTAAAATAAAAAGTCAGTCACACCGATGATGAGCCGCATGCCCGAAAAGCGTTCGCTCGTTACTTAAAAAATCCTCGCAACTGAGTTTTTTTTTAATTTAATTTTTTAAAATTATTTTATTAATTAGCCCAAAGTGGCAGGATGTCATGAAATTCAATATCGTTTAATTTCATATGAAGCATTTCCTGAAATTTTAGGTGGTGGTAGCCACCTCGGCCTGATCCTAAAAAACTCCCCCTAAAAATTGACCACCGAAAAAAAAAAAATGTACGATACTACAAACAACTGGCTCCGCTCTGTAAAATATAATACAAATTCTACCAGAATTTGGTTGAGACGTTATTTTTTTGATGTTCAATGCTCATTTTTCATAAGGAGGAGAGAAACAGGGACAATTCAGAATTAGAGGCGAAAAATTGGGTTATTTCTGGGGGTTTTTCAAACGGAGGCGTCCACCCTGCTTCTGAAATGGTTGCTTCATATTGTCTATATATTTCAGACTTTTGAAATTTCGTGAAATCTCCAACGGAATATTCAATCTTCTAGTTTTTTCCATTTTATGCCGCTACCCTCCCTTTCAGAGAGTATCACAAAATTTGCAAAAGTCAAGCTCTTTTGGCTGAGAGTATATAAATTTGACAACTTGGTGACAACTTTGGATCATTCTTCACAGGATGGATCCCGTGACCGAACTTGCAGGTTGTTGGTAATTTAGTGACGTCACAGCTCAAGAGCACTCGGAATTTCACCCACGACCCTAACCATTGAGTACTATTCTTGTGGTCCGATTGTGAGCATTTGCACTTTGCCGGATTTTCTAAAAAATAAATATATTTTCGGGAAGCGGGATGGGGGATGGGAGGGTTGCAAAACTTCAAACAATCACAGACAGCCCATAAATTAAGCGAAATTCCTCTAGAGTTCCCCCACCCTTAATGAGACACTAGCCATGGAGGACAAGTTATTTTTTCAAACTTTATCGTAGGAAATTATTCAGTTAAAGAGAAGTTATAAAATTATTTTTAAACGTGAAATAAGTGATAAATTTTGGCATTTTTCGTATGGAAGCAACACTGTGAGAATAATTTTTGTGTCATTTGATTAATTTCAGTAGTAGATGTTGATATCTCGCTTAGGAGTTGAGTTTTAAATTTTCTTAACATAAATCCCTTTCTACGGAACACTTTGAATGGTTTTTTAATCCATACGCTTTCCATTGGCTTATTGGCGCCTATGATTGTGGAACAACTCGCCTACGTGAGTGATATGTTGGATGCCACTATTGGATCTTTGTATCTTTCCTCCTCAATCATTACATTTCTGTTGATCATTAACTTGTAAATTTTTCCATGTTTTACTTATTTATGTATTTATTTTTGTATTGTCTAGATGGGTATTTTCCTGCCCTTAACAATTTAGAAAATTACATCCTATAGGCACACTGTTAAATCCATAGTATGTGTTGAATCGAATTTATACTGGAACTTCAAAATTATTGTTGATTTTGGAGTGGATTTTGGCAGCACAACTTGATGATCGTTCTGCATTCAACGGGATGTTGTGCGGTGGTGCGGCGTGCTTTGCAATCTATCGATATTTCCCCCTTTGAAGCTGTGGTAAATAATCGATTATTAAGGTGTTCGGTGCGAACACCCTGCCTATCGATACTTTTCCATAGGTTTAAATGGTCGATCAATCGATATATCGCAAAGCACGCCACGCCACTGATGTTGTGCTTGCATCCAAAAGGCTCATTTTCCTTTGTTTATTGTTCCAAGGTCTGGATCAACGATCCTTCGATCGTGAGTGATGATTATGGTGGCTCCGAAAGCTTAGCGTTGTTGCTGGACGATGCTAAAAATATCTACTTTTACACTCTGCTGCCCTTTGTTCATTAGCCAATAGCCATAAGACTTGACATCCCTGCTCAGTGCTTTCTCCAGGTCCATTCAGTTCGTGGTTATAAATTTGCGATGCGGAAGGAGACTGATCACCAGCATTTTTCAGCTGCCCCCAGGACTGGACATGGGTTGTCCTTTAAAGGTTACCGATATCCTTCCAATATAAGCCAGCGAAAAATAGCTGTGCGCCAGGAAGATTCTCGCATATAATGGAGAGTAGAGTGCTGCTTTGTTTGCGTCTGAGTGTAGTAACCAAAAATTAACTTCTCTCATTCAGATTGTAATGTTCTTCGACATTTCCGCTAAACGTTGGTGGGACTTAATTTCTGGTGATTGCTCATGTTGCGCTGACCTTAACAGTGCACTGGAAAAAAAAAACACATTGGATCTGGAGTCCAGGCTCTTGAAAACATTGACAGGAAAAAGGACTTTTTATTCAATCAGATTTAAGCTTGAATCAAAAGAAAATGCGCTCAAATTAAGAGGCTTGGTTCTTGATTTAAGCTTAAATCTGATTGAATCAAGAGTATTTTTTCTTGTCGATGTTTTTAAGAGTCTGGACTCTAGATGGAATGTGCTTTTTTCCAGTGTGTTTTGTTTTAGTGAAAAAAACTTGGATGCTTTTTTAAAGGGCCCAAATATCTCCATTTTTTCCAGTGTGAGGTTGGAAACATAAAAACCTTAAGCTAGTTGGGGTTTGCGCTCAAAATATGTTTTCGGATATGTTGCAGCAAACTGGTATCATAACTTATGCAATTAGCCTGCTTGTCTGATTCAATTAAATCTCATGATAACACAATCTTAAATCATACCTCTGCAACGTTGGCTAATGTTTTTTCTTTTATCCTTATTCCTAACAGCTCCATGAAGCCATGGATGACAGAGTTGATCAAAAATGGATCCTGGGGTATTCATACGAATAATTTCCCTATACTTGCATTCTACATACAGAAAACAAGTTTTCGCAAACGCTTATTAAGCGTATTTGATGTAATGAGCAAATTATTGTCTATACAAAGTGAGAGCACCAGCAGTTGGTGTTTAATATGTTTCTATTTTTTTTGTCATGAAATTAATAACAGTAAAAAATTCATTATCTTAGGTATTTAGTTCATGTATCCTTATTATTTAAAATGCTTACGTAACTATAATTAATCAATCGTAATTGCCAGTCTTAATTGTTGTATGTCCATAAATTAGAAAAAACAATAACAATAATGTAAAGAGTTCTTTTCCGAAACTCTGAGGAAGACATTTTTCATAAATCATTCCTCTGGTTTGTCTCTGAACTTCTGTGAGATACGAGCAAAGATAGGAGTATCACAATATTAGTTTCTTAATTTTATCCCATCCTTTTCGATAGATAAAGAGGTGAGTTGCACCTGCAATAGAGTTGGATCATAAACTAGCAAAAAATAATATGATTTGTTCAAACGTCAAGATTCGAAGGCCAAAATTAACGTAGATATTGTTTTTGAAAAAAAGTGAAAAAAAAAGGAGAAAACACGACAGATGACGCCATCCATGGCGTGTGTTCATGTGTAATTTTCTCCATTTTAGCCATTCATGCATTGATAACGTTCCACTCGAAGCACTGATAATTTCTGTTCAATTCAAATGAGGGTCAAAGAAGCCTTGATATGCTCTAATTCGATGGATGACTTCATCGCACATTTTCAAAGCATGATTTCTATGTTTGAATTTTTGGCGTCAAAATTTAAAGTTAAAACGAAAATTGTCATTTTTGTCTCATCTAAAAAATTAGACCTTCGACACTTAACTCCGTGGCACTAACACTCATTATGACAGGAGGAAAACCGTACTGAACAAAATCTCCTCCTCTCACGAGTATGACAGGAGTAAAGTAAGTGGAAAAAACGGAAAACCAGGCTAAAATCCAACAATGAAACCTCGAGGCGTTTCGACTCAAAACTGAGTTATTTCTATTTGGAAAATACACAAAAATTAAAAAATATCAATGAATTAACCTGAGACCTACATTTTAGTGGCGGAGATCCATAAAAAAACCTGGTTTGGTTTTCTTTCCTTGGATCACAGCCATCAACATGAAGATGTAGGTTTATTCATCGATCTTTTTTAATTTTTATTGTATTTTCCGACTGAAAATGACTCAGTTTTGAGTCGAAAGGTGTCCAGTTTTTTATTGTTGTACTTTAGCCTTGTTTCGGGGTTCCTCCTTGTTTTAATTGCCTGCCGTACCTACCATTGTCTCGGCCTGCTTCGTAAAAATGTGTATCTAACGAGTATGAAGATTGAGCTAACCACGAAAGGTCAACATTATTTTTCTAAAGATACATAAATGTAGAATCGATCGCATGGATCAAAAGAAACCAATCCTTTTGTGCTAGAAAAGTCAGCATGGCACTTCTATCGTCGGCTCATTTAGGAGTTGTGGAAAAGTCCTCCTACGTGAATAATTAGTACTCTAAATTACAAATTATACGGCACATAAATACATTTCGTCAACGACTCGCCTCTCGGCGCTGAATTTCTACTCAAAAGGTGGCTCAATTACTCTAGAGGGAGGCCTAACTTTGACTTGATTTCGGGAAGTTTCACTGAAACTCTGTTCGCTAATATCGTTGCGGCCCACGTGGTTGAGGGCCAACACTTTGGTCACTATATTCAAGTCCTCGGCTCCACCGGCAAACCTTTGCGAGTGGTCGATCCCAGACTGATAGAAGAGATGCCGCAGATGGTTGTCGAGTGGCACAGGAGCGGCAGGCTGGAATTGGTAGTGCGAGTTGTAATTATTTCTTTGCTGCGAGTTGAAACCGAAGTTCCCGACGAACTGGTTCGGTTCCTTCCGGTTCACCCGGTTCAGCTCGACGAGAGGCTGCTGCTGGACCTGCTGCGGGAAGAAGTTCTGGTGAACCGGAGGGCGTCTCTGGAAGAAGTTCGACTGTGGAACGTCCACGCTCCTCTGGAACTCGAAGTTCTGACGTGTAGGGAACCGCCGTCTGTCGTCGAAGTTGCGCGGTGGAACTAAGTCGTTCGTCGCGATGTAGTTCTGTGCGGCGTGGCGCGCCGGCGGGACCAGGTCGTTATTCCCGATGAAGTTCTGGTTGTTCCGGACCAAGTCGTTGTTCCCGATGAAGTTCTGATTGTTCCGGTTCAGATCGAAGTTCTGTTGCTGTTGGAACTTGGGCTCGAAGAAGTTCTGCCTCTGCGGTTGGAACGGCACGAAGCCTTCTTGCTTGGCGACCGACGGCACGAAGTCGAAGGAGGTCACCTGCTGCGGTTGGGAGGGAGCGAAGTTCACCTGGGGCTGGTTGATCACCGGTGTAAACTGGGGCTGGTTCCCGATCGGTTGCAGCGCTTGCTGTGTGGCGATGAAGTTCTGAGAGGGGATGATTTCCGACTGGGATTTGAGGAACTGTGCGTTAGCTCTGGATAGGTCATTGCTGGGGGAGAAAGGCCTGTCTATCGATGCGAAAGGCTGGGTGGAGGCGAGCGATGGGTTCTGTTTGAAAAGCGAGGATGTCTGGGCCAACGATTTGTAGAAGGTGATCTCAGTCGGGTCGGAAATTTTAGTTACCGGCGTTGCTTTGGGTTCTTCGGCTTGGGGCACGGGGGCGACTCCACCCCGGTAGCTCAGGGGAATGACTTTGTGGGGGTGACCTCGGGAATCTTGCTGAACCGTGAACGCTACGACTAGAGGTGCCTCGGAAAATTCGACTTTACCCTCCAGTTTCAACTCTGGGTTATCTGTCCCGTTACTTTTACTGGAGTTTTCCTCAATGCTGCTCTCTTTAGCTTGTTTGTCGTCTTCCTCGGATGAAACTTCCTGACCAACATTGCTAGCTTCCTCTTTGCTGACTTGAATCGTGGTCTCAACCTCTCGGGAATTTTTCGTCTCCTGCGTGGTGATTGGTCGCAGACTTTCTTGTGATGCAACACGTTCCTCTTGATTGTTCCTTGATAGATTTTGTTCTGCTCCTAGTAGACTAGTTTCGTTAATTTCACTGGGTTCCTGTCTTTGGGCGTCCGCAACGTTGATATTAGTCTTTACGTTAACGTCTTGGTTGTTATGCAAGGCTTCTAGGCTGTTCTTGGCAGTTTGTTGGCTGTTTTGCGTGTACTCGAAACTATTCTTGAAAGGATCTTGGTTGCTCTGAACGGCATCGAAACTGTTCTTGAGAGCCTCTTGATTTCTTTGATTGGCCTCGAAGCTGTTCTTGAAATTTTCTAGGCTTTGAACACTGTCGAAGTTGCTCTTGAAATTCGTTTCCTGGCTACCCTGCGAGTTTTCGTTGCTGCTTTTGGAAGCATCTTGGCTTTCTTGGCTGGTCCGTAGATTGTTAACATTTTCTGGATTTAAAAAAGTAGGCTTCGGGTTAGCTTCGTGACTGTTCTGGAAATTTGTTAGAGAGTTCTTGAAATTCGAATCCTGGTTGTTCTGAGCGTGCATCAACATGCTCATGAATGTTTCAGGGCTTTTCACCGCGTTCTTGAGCGTGCTCCTGAAGGGTGTCTCGTGGTTAGTTGGAGAGTAAGTTTTCTTGAAAGCCTCGTGGCTTGCTTTGAAAGCAGCTTCGTGGCTGCTCAACGCGTGCGAAAGGCTGTTCTTGAAATTTGCCTCGTGGATGTTCTGCGACTCCTCGGGTGCGAATGTCTCTGCAGAGGCGTTGCTCTGTACAGTTGTGTCGTTGCCTGGGAACGGAACTCTGAAAAAGAATCCAGTTTTGATGTCCGAGGACGGAATTTCGTTGATCGAAGAATGGTGCGTCTTCAGCCCGAACGTGTGAATGTTTTTCAAGGAGTTGTCGGTGCTGAAAATCTTCTCGTCTACGAGGCTCTTCCCCGATTTATTTTCTTGATTTTGCGGTGTTGGCAAGACCTCTTTCATCGCGAGACCTTGTTCTTGCGGCTGTTCTTGGGATCCTTGCCTTTCTTTGTTAAAGAAGGACATGAAGTCCTCTTGCGTGACTACCTGATAGTTATCGGAGCTATTCTCTATTCTATCTTCTTGGTCTAACCTGGTGAGGACTCGTAGGAGAGCTTTCCTCAGGTTCGGATCAAGATGGATTTGCGGCCGTCTGACGAGACTGTTGATCGCTGAGATGTCCATAGACCTGGCGTCGGGCTCCGCTGGGTCGGCTCCGGTGACGTGCACCAGGTACAGCGCAATGACCTGAAACAGAAAATAAAAATAGATCGTTCAATGGATCAACAACAACATTATATAAATGTTCATTTGATATAAAAGACCCAAAATTTATAAGCTCAGAACGAAAAAATAAGTTCCGATTAGTCCTCTCCAAACACCAAAAATAAAATATAAAACACCGATATCTTTGTGGTTAGTCGAAAAAGCTCAAACTTTCATAATTATTAATAGTTAAAGAGATATAACACTAAACTGCAATTTTAGAATTGATCAATCCCCCCCATATCTTAATAAATAAAGTGCCTGATAAAAGGGTTAAATTGTAAATTTAATTATAAGTTTATTCTTCTTTATTAAAATTTCAAAAATTTCATTTTTTTTCGCAGGGGCGATTACAATGCTGTTGATGGATCGAAATTTTAATAGATCTTTTTATGACCCTCTAGGAGGAGGTGATCCTATTTTATATCAGCACTTGTTCTGGTTTTTTGGTCATCCAGAGGTGATCAAACCATGGTGCAACCATATTGCAAACTGAATGTGGTAGACGCACCGGTCGTAAGACAGTGAGCTGGCATTTTTTAGCCAACGTGAGGTAAAAATTCAAGGAACTGGAAATCTCAATACATATTTCTTAGCCAACGTGCGTTAAAAATCCAGAAAATTAGAAAGCGCATTACAACTTTCCCAGCCAACGTGCGTTAAAAATCCAGAAAATTAGAAATTTCACTACAAATTTTTTAGCCAACGTGCGTTGAAAATTCAGAAAACTGGAAATCTCAATGCATATTTCTTGGCCAACGTGCGTTGAAAATCCAGAAAATTAGAAAGCTCAATACAACTTTCTCAGCCAACGTGCGTTTGAGATTCAGAAAACTGGAAATCTCAATACGAATTTCTTAGCCAACGTGCGTTGAAAATCTAGAAAATTAGAAATTTCACTACAAATTTCCTAGCCAACATGCGTTGAAACTCCAGTAAACTGGAAATCTCAATACAAATTTCTTAGCCAACGCGCGTTTAAAATTCAGAAAACTGGAAATCTCAATACGAATTTCGTAGCCAACGTGCGTTAAAAATCCGGAGAATTAGAAATCTCAATACAAATATCTTTGAGGGGAAATTATGCTCAAACGAGCTCTGTATTGAGATTTTCAGTTTTCTGGATTTGTAACGCACGTTGGCTAAAAAATTCCAATTTACCAATAATCTATCAAGTGTGAAGGCGTGACCAAGACTAAAGAATATGCCAATGACGAGACGTGTGGGTTGAAAATATTTTCCAATTCATGTATTTTGCTTATAAAAATTCAAGCTGAGGATTCTCGCAAAAACTCAGTGTTTATCTCGCAAATTATCTTTTATCGGACGCGGAATGAAGAAAGTCCGCGTGAAAGTGAATTAGACTTTAGTATTTTGACTTAATTTTTTTAAGCGTTTTTTTCTTAAAGGGAAAAATTCTGTATGCTTGCAAACTTATATATTGACAGTAAAACTACCAGACCACATTTGCGGTGTGCCAACACAGTTTGCGGTGTCTGAAAATCTCCGCTCCTATGTTATTTTTTTGAAGGAGAGCAAACATTTCTAAAAATGTCCAAAGAAATTTGTTCGCACAGAGGAGGAAACACACGGAAGTTTTCAAGACTTGACGTCGAGTAGTTTTTCATTTAAAAAAGTAAGTTTGACGGGGATATACGACGTCACAAATCTAGAAAAGTGGTCCGGTAGTTTCACCGTCGGTATTATTTATAAAATATTTTGTCCACCAAATTTGTCTTATTTTTCTATGAGATCAGAAGAAAAATCAATCAGGAGCACTTTCAATTAGACATTCCTAGGATTTACGTCAAGAATACGTCATTTTCCGGTCAAAGGAACCCAGCTACTTCCCGAGGTGGCAAAATTGACTCAAATAATTCAACTTTTCTTAAGAATGCACCTGCTCGATTTTGGTCAAAATTTGTCTGATTTTCTTATAAGATAAGAAAAAAAGTCAGAGACATTTTCAGTTGGCCAGATTTTTCTCGTAAACATTGCTGCATTGCTCTCAACATTGCTCGGAATTTGATATAAATCGTGTGATGAAGCTTTCGAGATGATGATAAATCGCCGCGGGTTCACACAGACAGCGTGATGCTTGAAGTATCCAGACAGTTTTGCAGGCGCTTTTCGCGATCATATTTCACGAAATTTCAAAATTTCGGTTTTTCCTTCAGAAAATGAGATCCCTTTTCACAGATCCGGTCACAATCATTATGAAGAAACAACATTTTTCGCATATCCATAAAAATGATGAAGAGCTTGGTCTTTTTTCCGTTAAATTAAAGATTTTAACGCAGGGAAGAAGAGGTTGAGGGGGCAGAATTCGCGACACAACTATTTAGACTTCCAAATCGGTGAAATTGTATATCCACGAAATGAAGGAGAAAATGAACTCTTCACGGCTGACCGAGAAACTTTAACGCAGGAAAGAAAAGTTGGATGGGGCAAAACACGCGATCCAAATATTTTGACTCTCAAGATGATTTCCAATACATCCTCATCTTCAAATCCACAAAATGAAGGAATAGCCGCAATGTTTCTTAAAAATCCGTAATTTGTCGGGAGGAATTTGGCAACATTCAAATGTTTTAATGACTTTATTTCTTACCATGACAGAGTATCTCTCCTTATGCGTCCGTGCAAAACTAGGAAATCTTTAGAGGGAGATTATGGCCACCAATTGGACGCACTTCTGCCAAACGGAACTATGTGCATTATGACGTGAGCCCTGTTATACATATATTTTTCTGGGTCTCAGGGCTAACATTTTAATGCACATAGTTCTGTTTGGTAGAAATAATTCCGATTGTGAGTCTCATGGATATCAATTGGATCCGGTTTCAGGACATTTTATCAACGATTTTTTGTCCGCGCACCTTTTTTATCAAGTGGTTTACGCCCACAAATAAACAACAAAGCAAAATAAGCAACAGTAACTTGGTCCAAGCGTTATATTTTAGTCGTTATGTAAAATTATATTGACAATATGGAAATGAGAAATTGAGAGAGAAAGAGGTGCTGTTATGGTTGCTCATTTTCTGAATGAAATGTTATTACTTTCTCCTTTTGAACCATCTTTTTAAATTGTCATTAATGAATATTCCCATCAATTTAAATGAGGATAATCAATGCAGAGTGTGCAAACATTTCAAAATCATGCGTTAAAAAACGCTGACTATGCGAGTATAAATATTAAAGCCTAACAGAGCGGAGCGGTTCACTGGCGCCTACAAACCTAAGTGGATACTTCACGCATTGCACAATGCTTGAAGTATCCATTCAGGTTTGTAGGCGCCAATGCGCGTTTCGCGCTGGCCGGCCGCCCGCCGTGCGGCGGCGCCTGAAGCAACTGTTTCACAACAGAAGTGTTGCACAGTATTATACGAAATTGAACGTATTAAGAATGACAGGCATCCTTTAAAGGTACAGATCTTTCCTCGCAAAATAAATCAAGATACGAATCGTGCCATTTTATCTCGGTTATTCTACCACAGTCGATAAAAAATATTGGCGTTTTTACCGGGGTCCAGTAAAATTACCGAGAAAGTCAATAATTTTACCGAGATTTCTCGGTAAAATTATCAATTCTATATGGTAATTTTACCAAGAAAAAACTGGGATCAAATGGACGGAGTTAAACAGAATGGAACCAAGCCACATCGGGATCGAACCGAGAAAAAGAGGTTTAAAGTTTGGCTCCTGCATAAGACTCAATGTAAAAAATAAACTTCAAGTTCAATTTCTGCAAAATTTGCTCCAACAAAAACTTTGAATTTTTGGCGATAGATAGTAGAGCAATGGTTGAGTTCAAAACCACTCATAACTCAATTTTTTCCAAAATGTGGGTTGGTTCCTTTCTGCTTAACTCAGTCCAAATAGAACCCTGAATTCTTGGTAATTTTACCATTTTCTTAGTAGATACACCGAGATTTTTTTTTCAGTGTGTGACGGTTAACTCAGCGTTTTGTGAGTTATCACACACTTTTTCACATGCAGAATGTTAAGTCAGCATCCCTTTTTTTCGGCGAAGAAAACTGTTTTTCACGAGCGAGCGGCGGAGCAACGCTGCGCTGTGCGCTCGAGCTTTAGACCGGAGTTTATTACAAGTTTCGAGCGACTCCACGTTTATATAACACGTCCGTTTAACGGGGCGCTTTCGTTCCAATTCTATTCCCGACCGCTCGAAGTCGACGCGTCGCTCGTCCTCGTGTAAACAGACTCCCGGACGCCGAAGATCCCGACCCGAGGTGAGAATGAGCCGCGATTTCGGTAATGCATCGATTTTCAATAACACTCATTTGCGCTCGAAATGAAAGCGACCATGTAATTATCCAATGAACCCCACACGTGAGTCCGGGATCTTTCGTAACGGTTCCCACCGAGAAAATCCATTACCCCAAAGATTATAGATTTCGGGCTATAATTTCATTTTTCTCGAGAGGCCACGCGGCTTAATTGAACCCAGCGAGCGTGGCTTTTCAATTTGTGAGTGTGACGAGATGTGTGTTTAGGTTACGTTCGGGTGGTAGGGTGTGAATGTAACCTTTGTGGGAAACCTATATCCGTTTAATTCGGCCTTCGGAACCTTCGAAGGCGCTCTTGATCCTTGAAAAAAAGATTTAAGATATAACAAGAACAATTGAACATGTTTAACCGGGTCCAACTTGCAGAGCTTGCTCAATTGTATCTAGTTTTTACGCGCTCAGCCAATAGGGAGCGCTTTTTTATTTCAACCTCCCTCTAGAATGGATCACCAGAGAGGGTACGAAGTTTAGCATTCTGATACACGTTTCTCAACCAAAATTTAACGTAAAACATGATTTGAACAACGTACATTTTTGAAACTGATTTTTAACCAAGATATTTAATGTTTTTTGACGCATGAATTCAAACCTCCTGCTCATGAAAACACAATGATCGTCAAATCGCACATGAAAAGTTACTGTGGCAGTTCTGAAGCCAGTTTTGATCAGTTTGTT